AGTGGAGAGGATGATTTTAACATCTCTATTCTACAATATTGTGAGTGGAGTCTCAGGACCAGTTTTTCCAGTGGATTCTACCAAACCAAAGAAAAATCTAATACTTGTCCTCTTCAAGCTCTTAAAAAAAATCAAAGAGGAAGGAAGTCTTCATAACATAGGCCACCATTACCCTGAGGTATTGCCCAGACCTGAGGTATTGCCCATAGGCCACCATGGGCAATTGCCCTGAGGTATTGCCCATAGGCCACCATTACCCTGAGGCCACCATTACCCTGATCCCAAAACTAAACAAAAACAGTGCAAAAAAGAAAACTGTAGATCAATATCACTGATTAAGATGGATGCAAAAATCTTTAAAATGCTAGCAAAGTGAATACAGTAATATATCAAGTGAAACATCTATCTATTGTGATCAAATAGGCTTCATACCTGGGATGCAAGGAGGTTCAACGTATGCAAATCAGTCAACATCATTCACCAAATCAACAAAAAGGAAGACCACATGATCACCTCAAAAGCTACCAAAGAAAACATTCAACAATATCCAGCATCCATTTATGATTAAAAACTCTAATAAATGGGAATAAATGGAACCTATCAAAAGATTTAAAGGGTACATATGATAAAACCACAGCCATCAACATACTCAATAGTGAAAACTGAAAGCATTCTTCTAAGGTGAGGAACAAAGCAGGAGTGTCCACTATCAGCACTGTTATTAAACATAGCTTTGGAAGTCCTAGCTGAAGCTTAGGCAAGAAAAAGACAAAAGGACTCTAAATTAGAAATGAAGTGGAACTGTCATTATTTGCAGATGACGTGTTAATATACTTAGAGAAGCCAAAAAATTCTACAAAAATCCTTGCAGAAATAATAAATGAATGCCATAAAGTGGCAGAATACAAAGTTATTACACATAAATCAGTGGCATTTCTATATTCAAACAATGTCTCAGAAGAAAGGGAAATAAGGAACACATTTCCATTTACAATAACACCAAAAAAATGAAATACCTGAGAACAAACTTAATGAAGGAGGTGAAGAACCTGTATATTGAAAACTATAAAACTCTGTTAAAAGGAAATAATAGAAGACACAAAGAAATGGAAAGATATCCTGTGCTTATGGGTAGGAATGATGGAAGTTTCACACTTCTTGACTTCTAACTTTATTACACAGCAACAATAATCAAAATAGTATGGCACTAGAACATAAAGTAAGAACAATGGAATAGAATTGAAAACCCACAGATAAAACCATATAAATATGGACAGTTAATTTTTGACAAAGGAGTTAAAACCATACAATGGAGAAAAATAGCCTCTTTAATAAATGGTGCTGGGAAACATGGATAGGCACTTGCAAATAAATGAAGCAAGACCTATATTTAACTCCATACATCAAAATTAATTCAAAATGGATTAAAGACCTGCACATGAGAACGAAAACCATGAAGTACTTGAAAAAAAACACATGACAGGACATGTTCCACAAAGATGTATTTGGGGATACAACTCCAACAACATAGGACACAAAACAACCAAAAACAAACAAGTGGGACTACATCAAAAGATTTTTTTGTACCTCAAAAGAAACCACCACAAAAAAAAAAAAAAGCCATGTACAGAATGGGAAAAATTATTTTCTTACCACACATCTGACAAGGGGTTATTCTTCAAAATTTACTAAGTTCTTGCACAATCTAACAACAAAGAAGTGACCCAACAACAAAAAAAATGAGCAAAGGACCTAAATAGACACTTTTCTTAAAAAACAGTCAGACATATGAAAAAAATGTTCAACATCACTCATTACAAGGGAAATGCAATTTAGAATTGCATTGAAATACCACATTACCCCTGCGAGAATGGCCAATATAAGAAAATATAGAAATAACAAATGTTGATGAGGTTGTGGTGAAAAATGAACTCTCATCCACTCTTGGTGGCAATGCAATTTGGGACAGCCCCTGTGGAAAATAGTATGGAAGTTACTCAAGAAAATAAAAATGGAAATTCCATTTGATCCTTCAATATCATGTTATTCATCCAAATAACATGAAAACTCTGATATGAAAAGATTTATCTATTCACTATTGACAATTGCCAAGTCAGGAAAACAACCCAAGTGCCCTTCAACAGATAAATGGATAGAGAAATGAATATATACTCAATGGTGTATTACACAGCTATGAAGAAAGGTGAAACAGTGGCATTTGGGACAAAATGGATGCACCGTGAGGTCATTATGTTGAGTGATGTTAGTCAAAAAGTGAAGGACAGATATAGAATTGTTTCATTCAAGTGGAATATAAATACCAAAAAAGCTTTATATGCAAAGACTAGAAGGAATAAAACTTGAACTCAGCAAAAAGAAGATAATGTTTACTAGAGGTAAAAGAGTGGAGGCGATGAGAAGGGAGGTAGATGGGATATGGGCAGAGATGGTTTGGTGGTGGGCAAAAACTTAAGACCAGCACTATCTTCCCCACATCCTTTCTTCTAGTCTAGCAGGTAACTGTTTCAGACAAACTATTTTTACTTATTATTAAAAAGTCCATAAAATACAAAAATGCAAAGACAATTCAAAACAAAACAAAATGGAATTGCACTGTAGAGAAAAAAAATACAGGTCAAAGTACCCTTACAAGAAGGAGAAATAAGTTGAGAATTACTGAAAAACATTTCTCCAGAAGAGTTCAGTTATATTATGTAGAAATGAATTAGTCCTTCTAAATTGTTTATACCACAATGGAGAAGGTATTTGGGAATTGTTTACAGGTAAACCTCTCAAATTCAACTAATGTCACATATAGGATAATCACCAGTTCAAAACTTGAACTGCCCTTAAAGATACATGTAATAGGAGAATATATGGTAGATGAATACCTTCTATTGCAGAAAATTGTCAGCCTTATACAAAAATAGAAGACTATGATGAACCCCAATATAGCCATCACTTAGCTTTAGCAATTTTCACTTCACGGCTAATTTTGTTTAATTTATATTCTTCTTCACTCTTTGTTTCACTCACCTATCCATGCTTTTTTTTTTTTTTTTTTTTTTAAGTTCCCTTCATCTGCTGGTTTAATTTAAAGTAAATCCAAGACGTATTTTAAAGAATTTTTGAAGAATTAGTACAATTCTTAATATGATTACTTCTGGGGGTAGGGAGAAATGACCATCTATAAAGGGAGAGGAGTAAAAGAATCCTTTTGTTTAAATCTTTGGGATTAACCCTTGTAAAATCAAGAAAAAAATGGCTAGACTTGGAATCCTATTCAATAAAGTGTTCAGGACTAATAAGATTTCATTAAGAGAAAATGCATACTAGAATTAGAACTCCAGAGTATCACTGAATTAGAGAATCTCCTCAACTTCGTTCAGCTCCACCCTTTCCTTCAAAAGAATAAGTTTATAGGGCCTCCCCGATGGCGCAACGGTTGAGCGCTGGGTTGCGAAGCTGCCCGCAGCCTCTGCAGCGCCGGTTCGATCCCCGGCTGCTCCCTGGCCACCGGAGGAAGGTCCCACAGGGCGCGCAGACCTCTCCTGCCGCCCGCTGCTCCCCTCAGCGGTGTACTTCGGTCCTTCTGCCTGCTCTGCTCCCTGCTCTGGCTCTGGTGAATTCTCTCACCCTCCCGCGCTTCTGACTGTACCCAGTGCATGAATAAACAAAACAAACAAACAAACAAATAAATAAATAAAACATGCCTCTATAAAAAAATAAGTTTATAAATTTGATGCTGGTTGAGAAAGGTCTTTTAGACTCTTGGATCCTAGATAAAACTGGCAATTATTAGCAGTCTAGAGGCCCCATAAAGGAAATTTGTAATTTGTACATTTAAGGCTCTGGCAGATATCCCAAACTAAAAATGTTCTCACTTGCCTTGTTTCAGTTGCTATGCTTTCCTCTTTGGGCATTACCAAAGTAACTATTCAAAAGGAAATTCTGCTCCATTTAAAATTGTGGACCATTTGGCAATATTGAAACTTACACCACTTAACCTGTAATGGAAAGCCCAGTCACCTACCATATGACTCCAAAACTTGTCATTCTAGATTCCAGCACTATTCATTTATAATAACATGGCTGGGTCATCACACCCCTTATAGAAACTATCTCAAAAAAAATATATATTCTCCCATTTTAAGAAATTGGTCTGATGTGTTGTATCTTGGTTCACAAGAGCTAGGAGTATTCAGCAAGGATTGTGTTAGCTCGCCAACTATTGACTCAAAACACTGTATTACCATGCCTATCTATTAACATAAATGATCTCTGGAATATAAACTTTAATAATTATTTTAAGGTAATGGGATGTGTAACCAAACAAAGACTCTGGACCTGACAATATTTCATAGTCTATAAGAGACCAAGAAGATATCAAGACTGCCTGGCTATCATGTAATTATATCATATGACAATTTCAATGTTCCTTTGGAGATTCAAAAAAGAACATCTAATTTTTTTAGTACATATTGCTAAATGTTTTATTAAGACAAATGAAATTGTTAATCATAGTCTTTTAAAAATTGTATCTACTTTTTACCATAAGGTGAGCATGGAAGACTTTCTATTTTTTTCTGTACAGTAAATACTGTGAAAATCCAGTAAGTTTAGTAATGGTGTGTGGTGGGGGAAAAGTACCTTATATGGGAATTTTTTCACAGCTTATTATTTTCTTCCAAAACAATTATGTCTACTTGTCATCGTTGTGAATTACAATAATGGAAAAGTAAGAATAGCTTTTTGCCAAGGTGCTCTAAATTGGGTGGTGAGAAGCAATTTTTTAGCTTTATTTTGTTCCTTAATGTAATGTTTGTGCTGACAGTATTACAGTTAATGTAGCATTATTAAACGAATGGGCTGAACATTTTATGGAATCACATTTGAAACAAATGAATTATGGAACTTAGAAAACTAGGTTTGTAAGCACGGAAACTCACATTTCATACAAAAGTCTGCATCTACTGGAGGTCTATGCTAAAGTGCCCGCCTTCAGATGTCCGAGCGCAGCATCCTCAGCCGGCTGGCCAGCAAGGGCACGGAGCCTCACCCCACACCGGCCTTTCCCCCGGGTCCCTACGCCACACCTCCGGGGTACGGGGCAGCCTTCAGCGCCGCCCCCGTAGGGGCCCTGGCCGCCGCAGGCGCCAATTACAGCCAGATGCCGGCAGGGTCCTTCATCACAGCCGCCACCAATGGCCCTCCAGTGCTGGTGAAGAAGGAGAAGGAAATGGTGGGGGCATTGGTGTCAGACGGGCTGGATCGGAAGGAGTCTTGAGCCGGGGAGGTGATCTGTATAGACGACTGACTGGATCCCAGGCCTGCCCTTCGCCCAGGCCCCGCCCCCGAGGCCGACCCCCAGCTCAGGCTCCGGTGCCTGCTGCCAATCCTCCACCTTCCCCAACCTTGGGCCACCACTGGGCTAGAAGCCCCTTACCCCTCTCTACAACTCCTCTCTTCAAGAAGGGCCCTTGTCTTTCTCCATTCCACGTACCTTTCCCACCACGCTTTGAAGACTGTGCTGGTGAGAAGAGGTCGGGGTGGGAGGTGGTTAGCAGGGTCTTCCAAGTACCTTTATCCCCCACTGCCAAACACACACAGCTTCCCAATAAATGGTTGTGGGGAGGCAAGAGGTGGAACCTCCCCAGTCTTTATACCTGCAATACAAACCCCACCTCCTACAGAAGTGGGGAATTAGCTGGCCTGGCCTTTAGAAACTTTGGTGGGGAAAAGAGCTTTGAAGAGAGGAGGGCAACTTTAGAGAGGGATGACAATGAGCCTTGGGAGGGAGGAAAGGAAGAGGAGGGGTGGCTGCATGTTTCCTTCCCCTACTTCTCCCCAGATGGAGGGTGGAGCAGTTACAAGGGAGGGAGTCAATTGCTGTTCAGCCTGAGAATAAAGGCACTGTTCACTGGCTCATTTACCTCCTGCGTACCGGCATCTTGTGTTGGAAATCTCCCCCCCCAACCACCACCACCCCAGCCCCCCAGGGACCAAGGACCACCTCTACAAAGAGTAATGGTTGGGTGATACTCCCTCAAGCCAAAGAGGAGCCCCCTCCAATCTATCCTAGGGATGCAGGTAACCTAAAAAGGGTGGGAAAGAACACAACAGATCAGACATGGGGGGAGGATCTAGTTCAGGGGCTCAGGTTCTTGAAGGACTTGTACCCTCCCTCCTGAAGGCCTGAATATAGACTAAAATTGAGTGGGCCAGACAGGGAGTCTAGTTACAGGTGTACTTTGCCTTTGGGACCAGAGCAGAACGGTGGAGGGCAGGCTGGAGAGACTTGGTCACATCCTCCTCCCCAGGAGGGGCCGGGGAGAGTGGCAGTTTGCATGGCGAACCCCCCACTTCCTCTTCGCTGCCCCTTCACTTTCTTGCTGCCCCCTTCCCAGTCTTTTCACACCCACTCCTGGCCTGTCCCAATCCCGTCTTCTGTATCAGGTTTATTGGTTGTACATATAAATTATACTTTCCTTTCAAAAAAAAAAATAAAGTGCTGTCTCTAGTACTCCATATAAGGAAGAATTTTTTGTTTTGTTTCTTGTTTTTAGAGTGATACTAATTCTAACACATACTCACGTGATAACAGCTTCCAGGAAAAAAAAAATACAGCTTAACTAAAAATCTTGCATGTTTCCTAATAGTGTTATAGAGCAACCCCGATATTAAACGGGTTCCTGGCTGTGGGTCCTCACCCGCGCGCTTTAAAGGGACTGCCTTTTCCCCCTAACAATAGGACTTCACAAAAATTATGCAGATACTTTACATATTTTAAACATTTAAACAAATCACTTAGGCGATGATGGAGGAATATTGCTTCTTTGATGGTGGATATGGTATGATAACATACATCTGAAGAGGTGGAATTTATATTTCTCAACCATAAAAACTATTGTAAACCATTGTGACTTCAATAAAGTAAATTATAAATCTTAAAAAGAAAACTAAAAACAAATCACTTTGCACGTCATTGCACAGTCTCCATTTTATTTGGCAAATCTAAAACAGAAACATACTAGAATAGAAAGTAGATAAAAAGGCATTTCTCAACTGGCATTTCTTTGCAATTTTCGTAGATAAGTTGTATGGATTTTGTGAAAGGAAGGAAATCACCACTACTTCTATTGATCTCAATTACAAATGGCAAAAGAAATGCATACATTTAAATTTGTTTGGTATAATAATTACCTTATAACGACTCCAATTAACTCACTATGCATAGATCAAGAGAGTCAATGAGTACTGACTTAACTGGCCCAAATTTTGGCCACTGTATTTTTATTTAAGAATTTTTGGAAAATCACATTTGTTCTAATTTTCAAAAAGATATGGTGGCAGATTTCTATCAGGATACTAAAAACTTTCATTATATCATCTTTATTGGTTAGACAACTTTACATACTTTTGTTACAGTTAGACATATTAGTATCGGCAGAGGAGATACTGCCCCATTGTTCCTACACCATAGGAAAAAATATGTAAGGACTATATAGCTCATAAAGAATGTTAACATTTCTATCACAAATATTGATAACATTGGAATTGTGTCAATCCATGTTATAAAGCTTAATATTTTTGTCAAAGCAACTATTAATAAGGCTTTTAGCTTCATATTAAAGACCTATTTTAATATTTGTGTAAGAGTATTTAAAGTGTTTTTCTCTTTATTTATGTAATGCTTCATCTATTCCTAACAGTTTCTTAACATAATGAACAATTATTAGAATATAATTACAAGGTACTACAGAATTATATATAGATATTTACAGAGATATTTCAGTGCAAAACTTCATCATATGTAACCCAAATATATTTGTTGACTTAATTCATACTTTGTCCAATAAAAAACATTTTAATTTTTGCTAGTTACTTAACTGTTACCAGAAGTGTAGAAATTAAGAAATTTCGTTCTTTTTTACCAATGTATTTCAAAAATACTTGTATTCACTTTGTAAGGCCATTGGAACCCAATTAGTCAACAAAATTCTTACCTATAAAAATTTTTCTCTTAAGTAGAATGCATATATCTAGTATTTGCTGTTACTATTTTTATTCCCTAAGCCTTTATGCTATATAGCAATATTATGTTTTATATACTACTATTAAAAAAAAAGTCTGCCTTTCTTTCACCCACTACCATATAGAGTGATATGTTTTTAAGGAATTGGGTGGGCTCATTTGATGAGCCAATTATTTGAAAGAATGGATTTTCCAAGCCATTGATAGGTACTTAAGAGCCATAATAGTATAATATACAATGTATTTTATTTAGTTGTTTAAAATATATTGTCCAACTTTCCTACTAAATGCAATGAACCATTGCCTTTGATTTTGTAATGTCTTTAAGAGATATCAATAACATGTAATAAAGCATCTCTATTAGTCACAAGGTGTAACTTAAGTAAAGCAAGTATATGCTATGTATACCAGGCACTAAATGAACTTTTCTAAAAATTCAATAATCTTTTGCCTCTACTTTGATTAGAAAAACAGTATTTACTTTTTAAGCTAAAGTGTAGTACTATTATGAAAGAAGAAAATCTAGTGGAATAACTTGTAAAATCTCTACCCCCAAAAATCAATTCAATGTCTAGGGAGCACCTTATTGAAAAACACTGGATTGTATCCTACAAAGTCTGCAAATGACCTTTAAATTAGTTACATGTTGCTATGTAGAATACATAAATATAATAGAAAGTATTCAGATCTCATATGTGGCTGGAGAGACTGTCATCTGCAGAACTAATTCATTGCATTAGATTCACTGGGTAGTAGCATGGTTAAAACTTTCGATTGTCTGTTAGTGGTGGAAAAAAATAACAAAATACTAAAGCAGATACAAAAAAACTTCTTTGAGTTGGAGATTCATTCATGGCTAGAAAAGAAAAAAATAATTTAGAACTTGCTCATAAATTAAGATCTTATAAGTGCATATTTATTAAAATGATTTAAATGTATATGTTGAGGTACTATTTTGTATTTATTCAATGAAACAATATTTTGTCAGCCATGAGTCAAGGTTTCAAATGATTTTAAGTAAGAGGGAAGTAAGATTGAGTAGATTTACTCCTTGGTGTCACATTTAGAGGAAAACCATGTCTAAATATCTTTATTTATAAATATAGTTCTATCACCTGTGATATTATTTAAATATATTTTTGAACTTGCTGTCAGTCTCTGTTTCATTCAGGTATCATGTTTGTTGTTTATTGCTGTACATTTTTGTTTATTTTTTATAATTTAATTTAATTTTATATATATTTTACATCATTCTTCCTTTTTGTACAATGCATACTTCCTCCTTTCAGGTGTAGTCCCCACAAAATTCCCATCACTAATTAGCGTAATGATTTCTATTCTATAGACCCCTTACTTGATAGGTTCTCACATGGATGCCACCATTTCTGGGGCATATTTGGTTAGTAGCAGCAACTGCTTCCTGGTCTTCAATTTCACCTAATTTTGCCTTGCTGCTCATCTGGTCCTTAGGTAGAACAGGCAGATTGATTGAAATACACTGCTGAGGGAAGCAGCTGGCAAGACAGGAGAGGCCTGCTGTGCCAGGTGGGTTAGCTCCCTGGCAGGGGGTTGAACTCAGGCCACAGCATTGATAGCTTGATAGCACTGAAACTTAACCCCTACAGCACTAGGGAAACCACCCGAGTCAGGACCTTTAAAGTACTCTTCATCAGCCTCACAATAACTGGAGGATATAAAACTGGAGCATTTTACAATCTGGTAAGAAAGACGGATATACCTTCTCTCTTTCAAAAAAATCATATTTACATGAATCTACATACATTTACATAATCTAGATGAGTAAGTACCATTTTCAAGATTGTAAAAAATTCTCTTAAAACATTCTTTTCTTGGTGATGGTACACAGGTGCATTGGTGAAGGAAACTCTATGGGGACTACACCTGAGGGGGTGAGGGGGAAGCAAATATTGTTTAAAAATGAACAATGATGTAAAAAATAAAAATACATTTTTAAAAATCTTCTTTTTCATCCTCTATTCCTATTCATAATTGTCTAATGACATTTTCTGCCAGCTTTAGAATTTTTTTTAATTGGAATGATATGTTTAATAATTCCTAAGATACACAAGAAAATAAAATTTTCATATGGTCAACATTAATCATCTTCCTCACTGGAGTGAAAACCCTACCTAATTATTAGAGTTTAGATAATCAATTATATTACTTCATGTATGAATCATTCCAAAATTTCTTAATTCCTAGGATATATCAGTAAGGGAAATATGGTAAATTTTAAAATTATATACAATTTTAGTTCATTTTGATAATTTGCCATATCATATATATATATGCAATGCATTGAATTATTTATATATGTATGTGTGTGTGTATATATATATATATATATATATAAAATATCACTTTCTAGTTACTAGAAAACCCCAAGTGAACTTACATAAGTCCATTTGTCTTCTTTTTTCTCAATCACAATGGTCTGTATGTCACTACCTGGTGGTATATATTCATAGTCATCATACAGAAGGCCTAGGATGGGATATTGTGTCCTGTGTCTATAAAGAAAAGAAGTTTATAAGCTGCACAAGATAATAACCTTTAATCCTTTTTAGTCACTCTCAGTTTGATTCACCTTATTAAAAGAATTTGACTCTGAATGACTTTTAACGTTTTTTTAAAAAAAATCCCCTTTAAATGGAAAGTGATTTACTACTAATATTTTCAATATTATTGAAAGGAGAGAGATGACTTTCTATTCAGTTTTTCTAAATTGCAGGGATGTAGGCTGCTATCATATCACTACCTTGACTAAGAGTGATATCTACATGGCAAAGATTCGAACCAAGAGATACAGAAAAACCTATTTTGAGTACACAAATCCATCTGGATATCAAGCAATCCCAATTAAGTTAATTAGCTCCCAGTTTAAGTTGGGTTTCTGGCATGTGCAACTGAAAGAGTCTTGACTAATGTGGTTGGTTAAACAATTGTTTGTTTTTTACTACCATGTCATTTAATATACTAGAATGCAGGTAAGTTATGCTACACAAAGAATTTTATTGACAATAATAGCTATGTCTTTTTTATAAATATTTATTCTTTGGTAGAATCAATAGCCTTTAGAAAATACGAAGTTCTGCCTAAATGTGTGTATGTCATGTTAAACACACTATAACTGGATTATGTAATAACCAAAGGCATTCAAATCTCATTTAATAAATACATTACTTTTTAGTGGTAATAGTAGTCCTTCCACCACTGGAGAGTTGGCTATGAGATGAATATATTTCTTGTCTCAATTTTGAGAGTTCCTTGTAAATAAAAGATAATATTATAATTTGAAAATGGTAAAAACATGAGGTAAGAAGTATATTTGATCACTTAAGATGGTTACTAAGAATTATCACTTGTTCATTCTTTTTCAGTCTTGAGTTAAGAATGCCCTAATCCTGGGCCTCCCCGGTGGCGCAGCGGTTGAGCACTGGGCTGCGAAGCTACTCGCAGCCTCTGTAGCACTGGTTCGATCCCTAGCCACTGGCGAGGGTCCCACATGGCACACAGACCTCTCCTGCAGCGCCCGCTGCTCCTCTCAGCAGTGTATTTTGTCAGCCTGCCTATTCTGCTGCCCACTCTGGCTCTGGTTATAAGAGCCAGAATTCTCTCACCCTCCTGTGCTTCTGACTGTACCAGTGCTGGTATAAATCAATCAATCAATCAAAAAAAAATGAATGTCCTAGTCCCACTTCTTAAATATCATATATTTGTTCTTCATGGTACCTAATAAATTACTATATATGTATGTACAGGAATATGCTAACTGGTATGAGAGTCTATATTTGAGGGGTAACATAAGATTGAATGAGCATGGTTCTCAAGGTAACGTAATGTTCTCATCCTATAAAGCTTGAAAATTATTACCATTGCAGAAAATTATCGAAACTTCAAAATGGAAGTAGGTATTATTTCCTATCAGAAAGCCTACCGCTGAACTTTACTAAAAATGCCATTTGTTCAATAACAGTAATAAAACTTTAACCACTGTTTTGGTATTGTTGCTTCAGTATCTATTGTACCTAGTGTATGGTGGATCGTGAGAGACATGCTAAAGATACAGGGACAAATACAACAAAATCCCTTACAAAAGCACATAATAATCTAGTAAGGAATTTGCAGTATTATTGAGAGTTTCAGTACTGAGATATAAAATCAATGTCTGAAAAATATTAAATGCATGCTAGCACTTATTTTTTGCTTCAATTCTAACATTCCTTTTAATGATTTCTCCTGAAATATACTAAAAGTTCTTCATAATCACTTGCACTCTACCCCATGAATGTGTGAGTTTGGAAATGTGTCCTTTTCTAGTTTCTGGGAAGTATTTATCCTACTGGACTGAGTTTTATTGTTGCTTTCCACCCTTTCCCTTTCCATTCTTACCTCTGACTGACGCTTTATAAGGGAATCTTTCTCTTCCAACAAGCTTGTAAGTTCATGAACCTTAAATTGGAAGTCACTACAACTTCCTTCTCTTCTTGAAACATCTTTTTGGTACTGGTTTAACTGAGTCTAAGTATTTAGAAAAAGTAAGAATTATTATAATTCTCATATATAAAACAGGTAACTAAATTCTACAGAAGTTAAGCGATATAAGGCTATATAGCTAGTCATTAAATGAAGAGCAAAATACCAAAATTTATAAATTTTGATAGTTTTCTAATGTAAAATATGTGTTAAAATGCCAATTAGGAATTTTTCACTGTTTTTAAAAGTGCCTTCACTATTTAAGTTTTGGTATTACCTAAGTAACAGACTTGTACTTGACAAAATTCTTGTTATATATCATTCCTCAAAGTCAAGTGAAGATTTTTATGAATCAATAGTGACCTATGGATAATCTCAAATGTTATTCTTTCCTGCATAAGTATGATTTAGAAAAGATCATAAAATCTCCACCAGTATCAAAATAAATAAAAGTTAAAAACAAAAACACTGCACTTACTGTCGTCTTTTGGATTTCTATAAAAATTAAAATAAGTTAGAAACTATTTAGCAATATTCTATTCACAGTGATAAATATTTAAACTAGAATTTCTATGGTGTTTTCTAAAACTGTACCTTCAGTTGATTTTTCTTTGTAGCTTTAAAATTGAAACCACACACACACACACACACACACACACATATATAAAATGATAGTTTGCGCTCACCTTTGTATTTTATGTAAAAAGATCAACATACCCTTAGCTTGCATATTTCTCTATCTTTTTCCATTCTTAAGTTTTTTAGCATCTCCATATAATGGTTGCCAATCTCATCCATTTTAGCTTGTAGCATTGGGCCTGTGCAAGTCTCAGAAATCTACATGAAACAAAATAACTGTGTAACTGGATTGTTATAAAGGAAATGCATATATGTTACAAGAAATAGCATTAGATAGAAACCACATGATATTAAATGAGCCATTGAAATAATGAGAGTGATTTTTAGGAATATCATTATATAACTCCAATGATGGTGAGATAAGTCCTAAATGCTTGTAAGATCATCAGAAAGCAGACAATGTTATTTCCTAAGATGAATAGGGTAGATAGGTATCTCATTATCTATCTCAAATATCCAGATAGACAGACAAACAGATAATGCTAGGATGGATAACAATGGTATAACTAGAGCAATAATATATGTTTAAAACAATGTTTTAATACCTGTATTCTAAGATTTTTACTTTCTTGTTCCAAATTATGTTTACAGTATTCTAGTTCTTTTACTCTGTATTCCATATCTGATAATTTATGTCGAAGAGAGAGATTGTTTTCTTCCAATGCCTGGCATTTTGAAGTTGAAGTTTGAAGTCCTTGCTGTAAAGAAGACACAAGTAAATAAGACAAATGAATTCTACTTTTGGGGGGGAATGTTCTTTTAGTTAATTCATTTGGTGAAATAAAACAATGATTTTTCCATACTTAGTTTTCATAAATTTTTATCCTTAAATGGTAAGTTAAATCAAGTATGTAATATGTTAGATTCTTCCCATAGTTTGACTGGCTTATCTTGAGAAAGAATCAAGATTTGATGAATGTTCAATGTAGCAATTCACAATCTTACTCTTGCTACTCTTTGAGAATACTGCATGCTGTCTTCTAAAAGGCAACAAAATGATCATATTACTGATTATATGACAACTGTAAACTGAGCAAAATTTTAAGACTTAAAGGAATGCAGAATAGGGATGATGTGCCTTAGAGATTCATTACAATTTCCCAGGAATTTTTTTTGCTTAGACATATGGAAAACACTTCTAGAGTTCATCCATTCATTTAATTGCACAAATATGTGCCAATATCTACAAAAACCCTTTTCACTGATATATTAATGATGAAATAAGTGAACTGAAATTTTTAACATTTATATAATTCTTGTCACCCTACAACACAGATAATTGTGGATTTTATATACCTTATAACTAAAATACGTAAAGTTATTTGATTTTCTAAAAGGGTTTTCAGTTATTAGAAACACCCAAAGCTACTCAATTCTCACATGAGCAAGTTGTTCCTTCATATTTTAATTCTGTCTGGATTGTATTGCCATTGCGTAACCACAACATTCCAGTGCTTGTGAATATGAAAAGCTATCAATAGATTTTATCATCAATGAAGTCATCAACTTACTTGCTGTTGGCGATTATTTGCTCTCACTGATGCCAAGAGTTCTTCATACTCTTTTATTTGTGTTTCTTTGAATGCCAGGTCTTTCTCAAGTTTTGTCTTGTCATATTCCAGTGACTAAAAGAATAAATTTGTTATGACTCAAAATGACAGAAACTTGTCAACAGTCACATAATATAAAAGACTTGTTTACATTGGCAAGTTGACAAAAGGACTTGCTTCACTTGTAGTTGCTTACTAAAACAGAATTAAGCATCATGTGGGATAAAAAAGATTGACACTTAAAATCTTCTATTAGAAGAGACATTTTGATGGATTGACTAATTCTAAGTGCAATGAAGCATAAGCTTCTGAAATATTTTAATGTTTTGTTTCCATCTACAAAGACTCCCTGTTAGTCCCAGAAAGTGGTGAATTTTCAAATTAAAGTATTCATTAGTACTCAGAAACAAACAAAAAAACAAACAAACAAACAAAAAAAAAACCAGCTCTAACACCATCAAGGAGATATTCATTGTGTGGAAGTTATTCTGAATAATCTGAGAGCACCAAGAATAAAAATCAAAACAGAAAATAGAAAAGGTGAAGTTCTTGGAGAAAGATGATTATAAGTATTCAAAGAAATTCTGTGTATGGTTTTTTATTACAGAATGGGGAAATTCCCATTCGATGAATGAGATTATTCAAAATTTGCAAGCTATTTTTGCATTTTAAACATGTCTTTGAACTTAGACTAGGCTTTAAGCATTAAATTATCTTAGTTGCAAACTAAACAAGTGCATACTCAAACGTCTTTAATTTTCACAGTAGTCAGCTATTTTCTCCTTTCTCCAACCCAATGAAGTGTTTCAAGAAAATAAATATGTCTGTCTGGGTGAGCATAATATTGTTGTTGTATTGAAAATTTAAAAGGTAAACTGAATGCCCTGATTTCTATATTAGAAAGCTAGATGCTTTGGAAATAAAAATCAAAGTAAATGTTACTGTCAAGTCATTTTGAAGATGTCCAAGCTCCTCCCGTATGTTGCTGAATGTGGATAACACTAGACGTAGTGACTTGTCAGATATCCCCCTCATCTGGAAGAAGAAATAGTTTGGTAAGGATTGATTGCTTAATTTTACTGATATTTAAAATTAGACAATATAAATGATAGTAATATTATTTTTCTATTCCCTCGAGGACATTATTTATAGCTTTATTTTAGATATGACAATGTTAGAATAGTGATATATGGTATTTTATAAATAACATGCATAAGAAAACCCAATAATACTCCTGAGGAGATCTAAGCTATGTGATTAGACAGGGTCTATAATTTCTTCCACTATGAAGAATGATTTTTTGCATAAGAAAAATATCTATCAACACATTCCCTAATTTACTCTTAATCTTTATTTGAAAGATTAAGAAAAAAGAGGCACTCAACTTTCAAATAATAAAATGGATCTATCTAAATATGCTGCTCAATGCATAGACTTTGCCTGAGGTGAGAAGAATATAACATTCATTAAGTTGAACCCTGAAGTATCATCTCAAATTTAAAAAAAAAGGGAGAAAAATGTTTTAAATAGATTAAACTCATTTCTTCAAAGAAAAAATGTTTATAAAAGAGGCAAATTGGGGCCTCCCTGGTGGCGCAAGGGGTTAAGATGCAACCTGTGAAGCTCACCGCAGCCACTACAGCACAAGTTCGATCCCAGGTCAGGGAGGTGACCCACTTGGCACAGAAGACCTCCCCTGACTCGCCCGCTGCTCCCCTCGGCAGTGTATTTCAGTTGATCTGCCTATTCTGTTCCCCACTGTGTCTCTGGTGAATCCTCTCACCCCCCTAACTCTGACCTGTACCCCAATTCTTCTATGTATAAATAAATAATCTTAAAAAAATAAAAAATAAAAGAGGCAAATTCCATTTAATAAAAGATCTTCTCTATTCCTCCTGCTAAGTATAACTGAAAGCTCTGGATGTTACATATAAAACAAACATAAAAAGAGTCTGAAAGCTGAGCAGAAGAGAGAAGTTTATTTGGGAGAACTGGGACCTGAGGAATGACACAGGAGTCAGTCTCTGGATTTTCTTTTTGCATCACCTATCATACACTGGTGTGGGGGGCAAGCCAATAACCCGGCAATACCAACGGATTCAGAGAGTCAAAGTCCCTAAAAAAGTTTGCTCTCTCTAGTCAAAGGAAGAGAAAAGAGGCAGTCTAACAAAGCAGAAAATTTTTCAATAACACTCTCCTCCGGGGCCTCCCCTGGTGGTGCGGACGGTTGAGCGCCGCACTTTGAAGCTGTCTGCAGCCTCTGCAGCGCCGGTTCGATCCCGGCCTGCTGGCAAGGGTCCCACATGGCGCAGCAGATCTCTCCTGTCTCGCCCGCTGCTCCCCTCAGCAGTGTATTTTGTCAGTTTGCCTGTACTGTTCCCAACTCTGTCTCTGGTGAATCCTCTCACCTTCCCGCGCATCTGGCCTGTACCCCGGACCTTGTGTAAATGAATAAATAAATCTCAAAAAAAAAATCACTCTCCTCCAGCCAAATACTATAGGAAAAAAAAAAAAAAACCCTGCAATTCTACCCCCACCTAAACTACCAAAGACCAACAAGAGAGCTTACACAATCCCCTCATCAGGTTCTAAAAATTTGCACCAATAGCCACATGATAAGTTGTGGTTAAAGAAGGCAAGGTGGAAAGATGGGACTTTCATTCACAATTGGGCAAAAATGAAATCTCAAGCACATGGTGTGTCAGTTGAGACAAAGAATGGAGTCTGGGCTTTCACCTTTTTTCTTACTGCAGTAAAGAAATATTGCTCTATCTCCCGGCTAGAGTGTTGTCTAGATGATTCAAAATTTTCACCATTGCCCAATAGAAAGGTGACCACACACTTTGCAATGTCAGTGATTCCAATTGGGACCTCCTCCCCATTCAAACCAGTGTAATGTGAGTGGAGGCCTAATAGAGAGCCACAATTGCTACTTCTATCCAGGAGGAACAAGGAACTTCTCCCCCATCATTGCCAACAGAGCCTGAGTAGGGTACCTGAATTTCCACTCCCACTTGACAGTAAGTCAGCGACTCCACTTTCCTTCTTACTTATCAGAAAAGCCAAGCTAAAATGAAATTAAATTAAGGTCCAAAGATTTATAATATAATACTCAAAATGTCCAGGTTTCAATTAAAAAAATGCTACTCACTTTCATTCCAACAACGAGAAAAATCTCAACTTGATAAGAAAGAAATAAGAGATGTCAGCATCAAGATATACACGAAGCAATATTACTCATCAATCAAAAAAGATAAACTGATGCCATTTGTGGCAACATGAATGGAGTGAAAGGGATTATGCTAAGTGAAATAAGTTGGGAGAAAGATAAATATCGGATGGTGTCACCTATATGACAAATACAGAGAAACCAAACAAAAAGTCAGAAAAAGCCAAGCTTAAAAACTAACCCTTGAAAACTGACTACAGAACTAAAGCATCCAAAAGGGGAAGAGGGTGCATCAGGGCAAGAACAAAATGGGGAGGAACCACAGTAGACTATGGTGGTGGACAATGGTCTTTTGGTAGCAGGTGCACTTTGGTAACTACACCTGAAGGGGGCATACTATGCTCCCAAAATACTAACAACATAAACCAATAATACCACAATAAAAAAATCTAAAAAGAAGAAAAAAAGAAAAATGGTAGAATTACAAGAATTTTAAAGCAGCCATCATAAAAATGCTGTTACAAGAAATTATAAAGGGATAAATAAAAAGTAAATCTCAGCAGCAAAACAGAAAATCTCAGAACAGAAATAAAACATATAAAACACAACTAAATGGAAATTGTAGAACGAAAAGGTGAATAACTAAAAAACAAAAAATCTCAATGAATGGACTAAAAATCAGAATATAGAAGACAGAGCAAAGAACCCATAAACTTGAAGACAGAATAAAGAAAAATAATCAACCTGAACATCGGAAAAAATAAATCAGAAAAAATTTGAGCATACTCTCAGAAATCTGTGGAAGTAAAACAAATATATAACATTCATGTCATCAGAGTCCTAGAGGGAAAGAAGAGGGTAAATGGAGTTGAAAAATATTTTGAAGACATAATGGCTGCAAACTTTGCCAAATTATCAAAAATCAGGGGCCTCTCTGGTGGTGCAAGGGGTTAAGATGCAGCACCATGAAGCTATCTGAAGCCACTGCAGCATGAGTTCAATCCCTGGCCAGGGAGGTGACCTACATGGTGCAACAGACCTCTCCTGACTCTCCTGCTGCTCCCCATAGCAGTGTATTTCAATCGGCCTGTTCTGTTCCCCACTCTGTTTCTGGTGAATCCTCTCACCCCCACACCTCTGGCCTGTACCCAAGCTCTTGAATGTATAAATAAATCTTTTTAAAAAATTATCAAAAATCATAAACATACAGATTCAAGAAACTGAGCAAGTCCCAAATAAGATAAACCCAAAGAAATTCATGCCCAGACAAATCAGTCAAACTTAAAACTAAAGATAAATTTACAATCTTGAATTGAAAGGGGAAAAAGATATATCCTCAGTTATAACTGAAGAGTTCTACACCCCCCCTCTCAGCAACTGATAAAACTACTACTCAGAAACTAACAAATAATATAGAAGAGAATATCCATCAACCAACCAAAGGATCTAATCAATATGTATAGAAAATTGCACCAAATAACAAAATATTTTTTTTTCATGTGCCCATGGAACATATACCAAGACAGAGCATATCCCTGACCATAATGCAAAACTTAACCATTTCAAAAGAATGGATCTTTTGAAAGTGGAATATATTCTCTAACCACAATGGGATCAAACTAAAAATCAATAGGAGGAAGACAATGGGAAAATCTCTGCACACTTGGACACTAAGCAATACACGTCCAAATAATCTGCAGATCAAAGGAGAAATATAAAGGGAGATAGGAGATACATAAAACTGGTAGAAAATGAAAATGCTTATCATAATTTATGAGGCATAGTTATAACCATGTTGAGAAGGTATTTGCTGTGCTTAAAGCTTACATTAGAAAATTGGAAATGTTGCAAATCAGTAAACTAATTTCCTGTATCAAGAAACTAGACAAAGAAGAGCAAAATAAACTAAAAGCAAAGTAAGAAAATAATACAGGGCCTCCCCTGGTAGCGCAGCGGTTGAGCACTAGGCTGCGAAGCTGCCCGCAGCCTCTGCAGTGCCGGTTGGATCCCCTGCTGCTGGCAAGGGTCCCACATAGTGTGCAGACCTCTCCTGCCACCCGATGCTCCCCTCAGCAGTGTATTTGGTCAGTCTGCCTGTTCTGTTCCCCACTCTGGCTCTGGTGAATCCTCTCACTCTCCCGCGCTTCTGACTGTACCCAGTGCTTGTATAAATGAATAAAATCTTTTAAAAAAAAATACAGATCTAATGTTGAGAGAATGTCATCAACATGGTGGCCAGGAAATGCTGCAAGTAAGACCTTCCATAAAAAAAAGTTAATAGAGAGGAAAAGCAGCAGTTCCCTGAAAGAACTGGGACAAGAAAGATAAACGGGCGACTCTGACAAACTGCCCAAAGAAGAAAGTAGCCATAAAAGAGGACTAGAAGGGAGGAAAGCTCAGAACCCTGCTCCCCTCCCCCACCCACAAAGTTGGCAGTCTCCAACCAACAGAAAGGAAGGAATGAAAAAAAAACTCAAAGAACCACCAAGAATAAACTACGCATCAAGCGGGACGGTGAGTGGAAAGGACTATTTTAGCCACAGCACCCTGTGAACTGGAACTGTGGAGAACCGTGCAGGATTTGCTGCGGAGGTGAGCGAATGGCTCGGGGCGCCATTGGAGAAAAATAAAGACTCCCAGGAGACATACAAACAGCCCAAGGCCAGCTGGTAAGCTTGTGCGGAAAAGCGGCATGCTTGAAAAGCATACGAGGATAGGGGCTGCCCAGGTCCCCGCGCCTGCGACCTAGGCTTGTGGGGAAACACGCGGGGACCCTCATTGAGGTGAATGTCCCTCACTGAGTAATTAGAAACCAGGCGCCCGGACACGGGAGCGGTGTGCAAAATGCGCCATTTCTGCAGACACTGAACTGGGCTACAGCCTGCATCCTGGACCTGAGAGCTTTGGGAACTGAGATCCAGGGCACGAAATTCGGGGCTTGGGATCCCCACGACGGTGGGGCACAAGGCAGACACAGCACCCCCACGCCGTTGAGGCTCTCCATGCCACTCCCACTCTGTTCCCCCAGACCCACGGGGTTAAAAAACGGTTCCTGAAGGACACTAGGAAAGATCTCTTCCACCACCTAGCGACCAGAAAAAAAAAAACACCAAAGCCCTATAGTTTCGGGAGGTTGTGAAGAAAAAGGTACTCTCCTGCACTCCTGGTGGGAGTGCAAACTGTTCCAGCCACTATGGAGAGCTGTGTGGAGATTTCTTGAATTACTAAACATAGAGCTTCCATATGATCCAGCAATTCCACTCCTAGGTATTTACCCAAAGGACACAGATACATCAATTCCAAAGAGCACCTGCACCCCTATGTTTATAGCAGCACTATTTACAGTAGCTAAGCTATGGAAGCAACCCAAATGCCCAAAATAGATGATGGATAAGAAGATGTGGTACATATATACCATGGAATATTACTCAGCATTCAAAAAAGATAAACACATGCAGTTTGCAGCAACATGGATGGAGCTAGAAGGGATCATCCTCAGCGAAATAAGTCAGAAAAAAAAGAAAAATACCAGATGATCTCACTCATAGCAGGAATTTAGAAAACCTAAATAAGAGACCAGGAAAACGACTAATCAATACAAAGTAAAAATCTAAATCAACAAGCAACTATAAACCAGAGACACACTACAGGAGTGGGGAGGGAGCAGTGGGGAAAGGAAGGACTGGAGTCAAAATAAAGGGGGAGGTGCAATCGTATGGGGAGTATAACCAAAATGAAAAGGCATGCATTGTGCAAAGATGAAAAAAGATGTAAGAATTATATAAAATAAAATATTTAAATAAAAAATAAAAAAGTAAAATTTATGCACTTTCACTTTAAAAAAATAAAAGTAAAATAAAACTTATCTAATGTTACACATTCAGGATATTTATTCTTATGTTGTAATAGTTCTACATAAATGTATATTTCTGTATATCTGTAAAATAATCTTACATTTTGATTTAAATCATAGTATCCAGAAATAAATATTATGTGTAATAAAAAAATAATACAGATAAAAACAAAAGTAATGGGAAGTATAAAAAGGAAATACCCAAAATCACAGAGAATACAAGAAAAGAGAGCTACAGATCAATGTCTTTAGAATTTAGGATTAAACATCCTCAGAGTCTTTCAAATAGACCCTCAATGCACTTTCAATGGTCACCCCTTTGATAGAGATGGAAGTTTTAAAGATTCAGGTTCTGAGGTCGATAAGGGCTCCCACACCACTATGTCTTTACGGTACAGATTGTGTGTCACAAAAAATAGTACTTCATTAAGTTTCACAGATATGACACCAGGCCCAATATTTTGATGACCAACAAAGGTTTAAGGAGTAAAATCAATTAGAAATTGGCCTCATTAGATAAAACTATATTTTCTTCCAAATTCTTTGTTGCAAATGTATACTCTTCTTTTTTTTTTTTTTATAATTAAGCCTCTAGACTTTATTTATTTAGATTTATTTATTTATTTATATAAGCACTGGGTACAGTCAGAAGCGCGGGAGGGTGATAGACTCTTCTTTTTAATTATATTTCCTTAGCACCTACCTTGATCTTTGGCCTCTCCCTTCATTTTAGGGAAAATTTACTGCTCCACTGGTTCCTAACCTTTCACAACTCATGAAAAACAAGGCAGTGGCCTTTCCATTTTTCACTGCCAGGACTAAGGTGAGGAAGGAAAAAGCTACAAGACAGAGTCAGGTTGTTCAACAGCACTGTAGAGAGAATGAAGGCATTCCATAGCAGGAAATACTATTTCTAGAATGCTAACCTAAATGCTAAACGTTAAATACTAGCACTATTTACAATAGCTAAGCTTTGGAAACAGCCCAAATGCCCAAAAATAGATGACTGGATCAAGAAGATGTGGTACATATATACCATGGAATATTACTCAGCATTCAAAAAAAGATAAACACATGCAATTTGAAGCAACATGGATGGCACTGGAAGGGATCATGCTCAGCAAAATAAGCCAGAAAGAAAAAGAAAAATACCGGATGGTCTCACTCATAGCAGGAATCTAGAAAACGTAAATAAGGGACCAAGAAAATGAATAACTATAAGAAAGTGAAAATCAAAATCAACAAAAAAACTATGAACCAGAGACACTTTTGGGTGGTGGGGGTGGGAGGGGGGGATTGGGGTCAGAATGGGGGTGGTTGCAATTATATGGGGAATATAAAAATAAAATTTATTATTTAAAAAAAAAATACTAGTTCTTGATCATCTGACTAAACTATAATGTAACCCTAATGTAACCCCTGTTTAATGAAAATATAATCAACTATTATGAAACAAGATTTATATTTGGAACTTTCTGTTATTTATTAAGGGAAAAATTCTAGGCTAGGTGTTCTCACACCTACTCCTCACCCATCTCACCTGAAGAATGTAACGAATTTGCTGTTTTGTAAACTCTGACAATCCTTTAGGAATCAATGATTCAATGTCTTCTGACTGTAAGAAAAGAAAGGCTTATCTATTGAACTTATACACATTAGTATTTTAATTTTAACTTCAGCAGAACAGAGGTTTGTGTAACTGGGCATATGTTTTGGGACATCAACATATTATATTATTTTCTGGGTAATAGTTACTACAAACTCAATTTATAGATGTATCAGTTCTTAATTAAAAAAATCAATTTCACACCATACACCATAGAGAGAATCTTGAATTCTAAGCATTTTAGGATAAAACTTTAGAAAACCAATCAAATGTTCCATACACACATAAATATTTTTTAAAGTGGAATTTAAACACAAAAGGGTGGTATCATAAATCACACTGGACACTTTATTTCAGTGTTCTTTCGACAACTGAAAGTTTGGTTGGGTCATTGACATGACCTTTCAGAAGCTAATTTTTTAAAAATGATGTTTTTGAGGAAAATAGAATTAAGAATTTATTGAGAATTAACATAGAGCTATGATGATATGAAATATTTTGATGTTGCCACAGCAACATCAGAAAGCTTCACCTACTTTTAAGTGAGAAATTGAATTAAAACAATGAATTATTGTAATGAATGCAGCATATCAACACACTGGAAATAAAGGTAAAAATTAAAAAAAAAGAGGCCATCATGGTCTTTTATTACACTGAAATCAGTTCTTTCTCTACTTGGTGATTTATTCTATTAAGTGTAATCTGAACAAAATGTGCATATATAATAGAACTAATACTTAAAATGAAATTTTACTTCAAGTTGCTGCATGCTGTTTTGCATGAGGCATATGAAGTTTTGAAATACATTAAAACTAAATTTGTTATTTATTTAGCTAATATAAACTCTAGTTTTCTAAAGCAAGAAGTACATGGTTAATAAAACTCTAAATGTTCTGATGAACAAAGAGAAACTAAATCATAAGTGACAACTGATAATATTTTTTATGTGAATGATTATTACTTTGCAGTCATTACAAAGACAATATTTAAATCATTTTAAGAGCAAAATGATCATTATTTCTTTCACAGGCATGTTTACAGTGTAATAAAGGTGCCAAATTAAGACATTATTATTAGTGCAAATATCAGAATCTGTGTTATCAACAATATTTCATTTTCAACTGTTTTTGCACTTACCTCATCTGTAGACTCAAAGTCCTGCTTGCTGCAAAAATGAAAAATAAAAATCTCAGGAAGATGTATACCTTGATTATATATATTTTCTAGTGTTCTAATTATTTTATCTGAATTTGTATATACCATAATAACTCTGATTCAAATGGGAATATTACTTGATAAAAATAAAAAAAATTACTGTAACTAACTAATCCATCAAAGAAGAACAAAAATCTGAATAACAAAACAGTAGAATATATGCAGAATTTATTAGTACCACTGATTAACACCAGTCCTTTTGTATCTACATGTAGAAATTCTTGGTGCTTAGGTGGCAATAAATGCTACCTAAATGATTAAACAGCAATAATTATTGTTGTCTTTCTGTTTCTACCTCCCTTTCCTCCTTGGATTGCTCCCTTTCAGTGTTGATACCAGATTCTCTCTAAAGTGTCTTTAAGTTTTTTTAATATAGTTTTTATCAAAATCAAAAATTGCAAATCAAGGCTGAGTAACTCAATCAATCTACACTACAGCATGTATGGCAATGATGAAGCTTAAAAAGTATTTCAGTGTTTCATAGGGACAAAGTCCTAAACAACATGAACAAATGCCTAGTGTGATAATAGATTTTCCACCATCAAAATGATGATTTAGACAGGAGGCTTGGAAGTCCCTTTGTGGAGAGCTGCATTAGGTAGGCAAATTGTGCAAGATAATTGTTAGAGGTTATACCTGTCTAGCACTTGTGGCTTTTGGGGAATAGTAAATGATGGGAAGAATACAGTTCTAGTGTTGCCATTGGCAAAAGTTGGGCCTTTATGTTCGCCTTCTTGCTCTCTCCACCCTGAGTGGAAGAATTAAGCCCAAAATTTGTATGGTGAACACACTTCTCAAACACAACACCAATACACATGTTCTGACAGCAAGACAGAATATTTGAAGTAAGATGGTCTTAGAAAAATCAAAGCTATGTGATTGCCACATCTTTAGTGCAACAGAAAAGCATTTTAGCTTCTACCTTTACTTTCTAAGTGTTTGTGAACAATATATTGCTTACAAAGATAACCAGTTCATTCACTATGCAAAACATCTTGCATGCATTTATACAAGTATACAGGAAATTTTGAAGGGAACTGAAGACTCCATTTCCAAGGCAAGACTGTACATGTGCAATAATCTGTACACATGAATGTGGAATTCCCTGCATTACCCAAAATATAAATTTTGGGGAGGCTCTAGCAAGAAAAAAAAGAAATATCTTCTAGATTTTCAATGTTTTACTAAAGTAACTGCATGCATTTATTGGAAGCTAAAGCTAGTTAAAACTATGAATCACAATGTAGTGTTAGTAGCCTTGAATGACTGTTAACTGCAATTATCCATTATCACATTTAATAGAAATTTTGTGTTCAATTCCATTTCTTTTTTTTATACATTTTCTTTGTTGTTGTTTTTTTTTTTTTTTTACTTTATTTTTTTTAAAGATTTATTTGTTTATTTATACAAGCACTAGGTACAGTCAGAAGCGCGGGAGGGTGAGAGAATTCACCAGAGCCAGAGCAGTGAGCAGAGCAGGCAGAAGGACCTAAGTACACTGCTGGGGAGAGCAGCGGGTGGCAGGAGAGGTCTGCGCGCCATGTGGGACCCTCCTCCAGTGGCCGGGGAGCAGCCGGGGATCGAACCGGCGCCGCAGAGGCCGCGGGCAGCTTCGCAACCCAGCGCTCAACCGCTGCGCCACCGGGGAGGCCCTCAATTCCATTTCTAAAAGCATCCTAGTGTATATGTTTTTAATCACTTCCTTTTTTGCCACAAATAGGAAAACAAAACAAAGAAACAAAACAAGGAAAAATCAATAGCAGTTAATGAAATTTAAAAAATAACTAGATAGTGTTTCCTAAAACATCCTTCCTTCATTCTGACTGCAGTCCACTCATTGCTGGATTGCAATTTGGAAAAATAAGTGGAGACAACAGGGGAGCAAGAGAGGGAGAGAATGGAAACAGAAAGCAGAGCAAGGATGTGGAAAAGTCAGTGTGGATTGCGTCTCCCCTTGGTGCTGATGGATGTTGGCCAAAATTACACTGGGAAGGGGCCTCCTTCGTGGCGCAAGGGGTTAAGTGGCAGCACTATGAAGCTATGGGCAGCCACTGCAGCACAGCATGAGTTCAATCCCACATGGTGCAGACCTCTCCTGTCTGGCCAGCTGCTCCCCTCAAGAGTTTATTTCATTCAGTCTGCCTGTTCTGATCCCCACTCTGTCTCTGGTGAACCCTCTCATTCCCCACACTTCTGGCCTGTACCCCAGTTCTTGTATGCATAAATAAATAAATCTTTAAAAAAAAAAACAAAAACAAAATTACACTGGAAAAAAGAAACAGAGTGGCAATCACTAAATTCCATCTCTCCTCCTCGGAAAGAAGGAATGTAATAAGAAAAAAAAAAGGAAGGTGGGGGGGGAAATGAAAAAAGCTGACAACCTTCTGCCAAACCCTTAAATGCCAAAATTTTATGAGACCCTTTCCACTCAGGAGTATTTACTAATGTGGACACCACAGTAACTTTCTATTTTCTTTTTGGCAGTTTTAGTTATTCTAGGAATTAAATTTATGACATTACACTGCTAATTACACATTTGGGTTACCGAAATACATATTTATCTAACCCCTTAATGAGAAGAAGTTATTTTAAAACTTTTACCAAGATGATTATTAGAAAATTACTCTGTCTACATTAATTAGTATGAAACTAATAAATTTGGAATACACTGAGCTTTCATTCTATAAACATTAGAGAGTAGCAGCTTTGTCTATGCCTTCTGCTCTGTGAACTGTTGTTGGGTAATACCAAGCATGAATATTATCCTGTCCTGTATTTCATACAAATATACTTGTTCCAAGGCATAATTCAGCAATGTAAAATCAGTCTAAATCCTGAGACTTTTTAAAATTTGATTATTTGGAAAATTGATAATTTCTTCAATATGGAGATACATACCTAATATTAAAAGGCTACACAATTTGCCTAAGGGAAAAGTTTCTCAGAGTGGGTTCTAGTCCCAAATTTTGCCACTTTTGCAACAAATTTGAACTTTCAAACTTGAGAATCTGTCAGAATGCTCTGGAGGGTTGTTGCTGGGTCCTACTCCCAGTGTTTCTAATTCTGTAGGTTTATTTTCACGTTCTCACATGATGTTGATGCTGCTTATAATTATGACTTTCATCATATATTGCTTATAACAAATCTATAGTAATTATTAATATTCTAACCCCCAATTTATAGATGAAGAAACTGAGATACAGAGACAAGTTGCATGATATTACACAGCCAGCTTGTAACAAAAGCTGGGACATGAACTCATGATATGAACTCTAGATCTAAAACCGGGACATTTAAGATGATGTCTCTATGTGCTCTTAATTTCATAGTGTGTTACTTTGATAGAAATATTTACAGAACATGATTAATGCAAAGAGGAATACTAAGACCAATGAGGTTTTAGTGAAGTCTTTGTAGAGAAGCTGACATAGCTTATAGGTAGAAGAGTATTCAGAAATGAATCTATTTCAAGCACTTAGTTGTTTGACCTTGAGTTGGATCTTTTTAGAGTTACTGTTTAAATTAGATAATATATTAAAAAAAAAACCCTCTAGGCAGTGTCTGGTATATAGTGTACACTCAGAGTGAGGGGAAAGATTTTAAAGTTAGTGACTTTATACAAATGGAAGAATGTGTGAAATAGTTGTTTGGGTAATGAGAAAGGGTGTTGATTATTATAAAACAATGATGGACTAGCTGAACATGGAAATTATGCATTTATAATGACACTGATTCAAATAAATGGCTGTGTTTTTCCCTGACATGTATCAGTGGTGTGGATGTAGCAATACACGTCACTCAGTCAACAAATATTAATTGAACACCACACTGAACTAGTCACTATGCTAAGCACCAAGGGACATCAGGGGAAGTAAAAATACCCTCATAGAGCCCTCCAAATTCCAGGAGCAGTGGGTGCTAGGTAATAAATGGAAAAGGTGGTGGTAAGAAGAAATAATAAATAAAGCAGAGATATAGACTAATCTAGAATTGTGAATTTGCAAAGTGGGAGAGTCAGTAAGATAAGAAGGCAAAGTAGATGAGGGTAGTAAGAGAATCATTGTAATCATTAATATGAAAGCAAGGAAAGTCAGAGAGGAAGGAATTAATAAATGGAGAGAAAGATGTAGTAAGTGGAGAGAAAAGAGATGGACAAGAGATTAAAGATCATTATTATTTATTTATTTATTTATTTTTGTGTGGGACCCTCGCCGGTGGCCGGGGATTGAACTGGCGCTGCTTCAGAGGTTGCGGGCAGCCTCGCAACCCAGCGTTCAACTGCTGAGCCACCGGGGAGGCCCCATACTGACTTTCTTTACCCTTCAGATTTTATTCAATTCATGGTACTTTCCTAGATTTTGCTTGGTAGTTGACCACCGATGTGAAGTGACTATATAGTTGAAGGTGACCTTTGGGGTAGAGCTTGTTGAATTCATTTCATTATATAATATGCTTTCATCTACATATGAACAGTTGATAGTTTATGTGTATATATTACTATATATTATTTACTATATGATTGTATGGTATGCACATTTATATTGATTAAATATTTTATAATCTACATTTGATATATATCACATATATAATATTAAAATAACTTGTAATATTTATAATAATGTATACCATTAAATGTATATTTAACTATGGCCTTATATGTTGAACACACATAAATCACACTGTGTTGGCAGTGACTGTATGTCAGTATAATATTTTAAAACAAGCCGGTTCGATCCCCGGCTGCTCCCCGGACACCACAGGAGGGTCCCACATGGCGCGCAGATCTCTCCTGCTGCCCGCTGCTCCCCTCAGCAGTGTGCTTCGGTCCTTCTGCCTGCTCTGCTCCCCGCTCTGGCTCTGGTGAATTCTCTCACCCTCCTGCACTTCTGACTGTACCCAGTGCTTGTATAAATAAATAAAATAAATAAATAAAGATAAATCTTAAATAAATAAATAAATAAATAATAAAACAAGTCAGAGTATGCCATGTATTTTTTCGAGCTCTTTGCTCAAGAGGTTGCTTTTGCCATCAAATTACTTTACAAAAGAAGGTACACAGGGCCTCCCCGGTGGCGCAGCGGTAGAGCGCTGGGTTGCGAAGCTGCCCGCAGCCTCTGCGGCGCCGGTTCGATTCCCGGCTGCTCCCCGGCCACCGGAGGAGGGTCCCACATGGTGCGCAGACCTCTCCTGCCACCCGCTGCTCCCCTCAGCAGTGTACTTCGGTCCTTCTGCCTGTTCTGCTCCCCGCTCTGGCTCTGGTGAATTCTCTCACCCTCCCGCGCTTCTGACTGTACCCAGTGCATGTATAAACAAAACAAATGAACAAATAATAAAATAAATAAATAAATAAATAAAAACATGCCTCTATAAAAAAAAAAAAAAAAAAAAAAGAAGGTACACAGATTTCATTACTAATCTTAAGAGAACTGATGTGATCTCTTTGATGAATTTCATAAAGTATATTAACTCTTAAAATAAGGCATTTGTTCAGATCTGCTCATAAAGTCGCTTTGTTTCCCCATTAAAAGTACTAAAGTTTTTCTGTGAACCTAAAACTGTTCTGAAAAGTATATTGAGAAAAACCAGGGTATTGTAAAATATTTGATAGTTATAACATTAAGACAAATGATGTATTTATAATACCTTCCTCCAATTCTCTGCAAATGTTCTAATAAGCAGCGATATAGATCCATATTTTTACGGCTTAGATCGGCAAGCAACTCTCCAAAATATTTGGGATCCAATTTTTCAGGGCCATCATCCTGAATTATCACCTGAAGAAAACATTAATCACAATTATAAACAATATGAAGAGTTTGTAAGTTCAGAAATGTTTTGATACATAAAGAAAAGTATAAAATACCTTATTAATACTAGAGTAGTTCACTACAAAGTTATCATTATCAAGTCACCCAATTTTTTTTGTACCTTGTGTATATATCTTTCAATATGGGATGAATTTAAAGGAAAATAAATATTGCGATAACATTTTCTATTTCACTCAAGCCTATGTAAACTAATGAAGGCAAAATGTGAATAATTTATTTAAAAATTGTTGAATATAGGTGCTTAAATAAAACAGTAAAACAAGTAAATCAAAATCTCTGAATTGTCCATTACCACCACATTTCTCACTCACCTGTCCCATATGGGAAAAGAAAATGTAAATTATTTTAATTATACTGATTATAGAATAATTACTTTCCTTTGGAGTTGTATCTACTCAGTGAAAATCAGCTTAAATCATTAGTATACATTAAAGTTAGAATAAACTTTCTCAAATCAATGCATTTGTATGTATTTCTGGTTAGATTCTTTTAATGAAGTCAAAAGTATTCATTACTATATCTACTATATTTAGATACTATAGATAGTATGATCCTATACCTTTAAATCATATATAGTGTTATAAACCAATGAACCTCAATAAAAATGTATGTAAAACCATAAAAAAAATTAAATCCATCACATATATACTACTTTAAAAATAATATCTGTACATACCTATTTTTTTAAAAAGAAGTCAAAATTATCCATGATTAGTCTGAATAAAGACATGTTTAATTTTTTAAAGATTTATTTATTTATACAAGAACTGGGGTGCAGGTCAGAGGCATGGAAGGGTGAGAGAATTCACCAGAGACAGAGCGGTGCTCAACCCACTACGCCACCAGAGAGGCCCAAGAATTGTCTAATTCTGACCTCATTCCTGAGAAAGATGTGTCACTGAGAAACTGACTGCTTCAAAGAACCAGAAATCTAGGTAGAACTCAAACGGACTGAATATTCTCACACAGGACATCAGATATGACCAATGACACTTCCTTTTCAATCTGTTCTCTGAATGTGGGCTCTAAGAAAATAGTGCATGCCTGACATGAAATTATTGCAAAGTAAGCAAAGATGAGTTACCATAATAATATCTATGCTATGTTAAGATATTTATAAAATGCAAGTAAGTGAAAAATGATTAAAATGCAGTAGAGTATAAAATTTTTTCACTTTTTAAAAAGTCTGGATGAAAAATAGATATATTATAGAAACCAGCAATTCCACTCCTAGGTATCTACCCAAAGAATGTAAAAACACAAATTCAAAGGGATATATGTATTCCTAAGTCCATTGTAGTACTATGCAAAATAACCAAGATATGGAAGCAACCTAAGTGCTCAAGGACAGTGAGTGGATAAAGAAGATATGGTATATATACATGGAGGAATACTATTTATCAGTGAAAAATAAACTTGACATTTGGAACAAAAAAGGTAGAACTAGAGAGCATTATGCTAAGTGAAGTAAGCCAGAAGGAGAAGACAAATATGAATGGTTTCACTCATATGTGGAATATAGAGAAACATATCAAAGAGCCATACCAAAACAAAAGAAATCTGACTGTAAAATTTGAGGCTGCCAGAGAGGCCTGGGGAGGGTGAAGAGAAAGTATAGAGGAGGTCCAATGAGCTGAGATGGAGGACTGTGGGTGCCTTGGTGTTGGGTGTGGTGTGATAACATATATCACATATATGTCTGGATCACACATAATGTTATAAACCAATGTAACTTCAAAAAAAATGATAGATCTGAGTTAAGAAAGAAAGTTTTTGGAGATATCCATGCAAAGCTGTCCATGTAATGTTGCAGAACTCAGTATTTGATATCACATAGTCAAAGGACAGAGTAGAGAAATGCGAGAAAGGCCAAGTATAGTTCCCTGGGAGAGATCTCTTGATGAAAAAGGAAGAGGACCCTCAAGAGAAAACTTAGAATCATCAATACAGTATAATAGGAAGAAATAATATTCAGAATAAAATGGACCAAGAGTGTTGCATGTTGTATAACTGGAATAAGATAAAAAGGGAAAAAATGGAATCTGCAACATGGAGGTCAATAAACGCAATTTCATGACCTTGATGAATCTAGAATCTGCTTTTCAAAGTGTAAAGGAATGTATGGGTTCAAAAGAAATGGCTGTAGTGAACATACCTTCTTGCTCATGAATTTTGCAGGTGAAGGGAATTGAAAAGATGAGATCATAAGGCAGAAAGGATCATAGAGTTGAGAAGGGAGTCACCTTGCAGACAACATTGGAGTCTTAATTCTTGACAATCAAAAGAATCAGTAGCTTGTTCAAATTATTCATTGAAGTGGAACATTAAAGAAGTTTACATAGTTAACTCAAATTGTGTTCCATGAACAAGTAGCATTAAGATAACCAGGGAACTTGGAAATACAAATTACCAGATCCCAGCTATCTCTCTCTCTCTTTTTAAAAGATTTATTTATTTATAAAAGCATTGGGTACAGTCCAGAGGCGTGGGAGAGTGAGAGAATTCACCCGAGACAGAGCAGGGAGCAGAACAGGCAGAAGGACCAAAATACACTGCTGAGGGGAGCAGCGGGCAAGACAGGAGAGGTCTGCCTCGCCATGTGGGACCCTCGTCGGCCAGTCAGCCGGGATCGAACCGGCGCTACAGAGGCTGCAAATAGCTTCGCAGCGCTGCACTCAACGTGCTGTGCCACCGGGGAGGCCCCCAGCTATCTCTCTTTAACTGACTCTGGGTTCTCTAACTGATTCTTGTGTACTCCCCACTCTCAGTAGAAAGCAAAGCCATCTGCAGAAAGGGAGAGAGAAGCAGTGAGAATCAGAGTGTGAGGAAGGTGGATAGATGAGCATCAGATTAGTTATTGAATACTGCGGCAACAAGACAATTAGAATTACTTTAAGAGACTGTCTAATAATGGAGGGAGTCCAGGAAGATAGAGACAATCTACTCTAGATAAAATTGATCTTGTTTTTGAACTTTCTCTGGCACACAGGGAAGTCAAAATCTAGGAGCACAGAAAGTAGATGGTAGTTTACCTAAAGTAAGGGATCAGCAGTGATGGCAGTAATCAGAAAAGACAAACAATTTAAGGTTTTCCAGCAATAACCCTGTTTAAATGGTTGAAAGTGGAGATCAGCCTGGCTTGGAACTGAGAATATTGAGCTTCATGATAACAAAGATCAGTAAAAATGAAGAAAAGACAAACTATGAATGTGATAATAAGAGAAAGAGACATTCAGAATTCCAAGTTAAATAATTTGAGGTGATGATGAAGTTCATCTAGTCTATGTGGCCTGATGATAGAGTGGAAATGAAGAAACTGAGGGAGATGAAGAACTAGGAGGACAGAGTGTGACAAAATCACTGATATGAAAGGTCACTATTGAGAATGGCACATATTAAAAAACAGGAAACAACAAATGTTGGTGAGGATGTGGTGAAAAAGAACTCTCCTGCACTGCTGGTGAGAATGCAAAATGGCCCAACCACTATGGAAAGCTGCGTGGAGGTTCCTCAGACTACTAAAAATGGAGCTTCCATATGACCCAGCAATTCCACCCCTAGGGATCTACCCAAAGGACACAAAAACATTAATTCAAAAATATACCTGCACCCCTATGTTTAATGCAGCACTATTTACAATAGGTAAGATATTGAAACAACCCATATGCTTAAAAATAGATGGGTGGATCAAGAAGATGTGTTATATATACACAATGAAATATTGCTCAGCAATAAAAAAAGATAAACTCATGCCATTTGCAGCCACACAGATGGAGCTGGAAGGGATTATGCTCAGTGAAATAAGCCAAAAGGAAAAGGAAAAATACCTGATAGTTTCACTTATAGGAGGAATTTAGGGGAACCTAATAAGGGATCAGGAAAAAATAATAATGATAAATAAAAAACCAGAATTAACAGACAACACTAAATCAGAGACATTCTTCAGGGGGGGAGGAAGGAGAGGATCAAAACAAGGGAGGCAAGAGCACAAGGGACTATGGTGATGGTGCAGGGGTGAATTGTTGATGGGAATTTTATGGGAACTGCACCTGAGAGGAGAAAGCATACATTGTACAAAAATGAAGTATGATGTAAAATATATATAAATAAAATAAAATAAAAAATTTAAAAGATTTTATAATACAGTTGCAGAAGACCTTATGCATTAAGATGCAGATTTTTTAAATAAATTCAATTATGCCCCTCCAAAGAAAGATCACTGTTATGAATGGTGAATATCTCATACATGATTCAAGAGCAGGAATCAGCTGTAAGTGGAGAGAAAATTGTAAGCCTGCCTGTCAAGGGATGGGGGCAGTGACCATAATTTCAGTAGAAAATGATATGAGTCAAGAAGGGTTGTGTATATGGCTTTAAGGTTTAAGAGACAAGAGTTGACCAATGAGGGCCTCCCTGGTGGCACAAGGGGTTAAGACACAACTTATGAAGCTGTCCGCAGCCTCTGCAGCACGAATTCAATCCCCGGCCAGCCAGGGAGCAACCCACATGGCGCAGCAGACCTCTCCTGACTCACCCGCTGCTCCCCTCAGCAGTGTACTTTGGTCAATTTGCCTGTTCTCTTCCCCACTGTCTCTGGTGAATCTTCTCATCCCCCACACCTCTGGCCTGTACCCCAGCTCTTGTATGCATAAATAAATAAATCTTAAAAAAAAAAAGAGTTGATCAACGAAAGCCAGAAAATTTGACTGTAAAAAACTGTATTGAGAAAAAAATTAGCTATAGATACACAGAAGAGCAAACAAATGAAAAAAAATAGGGAAATGTTAATACCAATAAAAAATAGTTGCACTAATAAAAGAAGCAAAATAGTATAAAATTAATTCAGTAGTAAATGATATTTTCATGCCATTAATAATATAAACCTTGAATACAAAACTTACCAAAAAATGGGGATTTAACTATATTGGGATAATGGAAAATATGGA